TCAATCATTTATCGGTACCCTAACTTGAGCAGGTGTTTTTCAGGGTTTCCCACCAGAGTTGAACTTCAACATTTTAAGGCATGTTATTACACCTTTACAAACATATTGGTGAAGAAGTTGTTTGGTAACAATTCAGTTGGCAGATTTGTGAAAAATCTCATAAAATGCCCTGACTACTTCCTTAACCTACAACATAAATGTCAGCTAAAACTTTTGATTGCTTTTAGGAGTTAGCTGGGTAGCAAGTGGTTCAGCAAGCTGATACATTACTAGCTTCACAGAAGCGAAGGTAGTTGGCTAGTGAACTGGTGGTATGTAAAGCTAATACTGTCATATTGTTATTAGCTTAACACAAACGCAGCTAGTTAGCTCTGTAACTAGTGGTACAGCAAATGAATATGTCATAATGTTAGTTGCCAAACAGAGTCAGCTAGGTAGCTAGTTAACAGCAAGCTTAATGTTAGCTAGAGCTATTTTTGATCTTTTTTAAAGTGGTTTGCCAATTCATTATGAATTAATGGGATGAGAACAATGTGCACTTGGAGACATTATAACACCATTATCAGTAATATTTAAATTACTGAAACAATAATATCACATCACCATCTGTGGCTACACTAGCAAAGGGTTCTAGCTAGCTACCAAGTGTTATAGCAAGCTAATGCTAAAATTTGAATATAAAATGTAATTTACTTTAAATTAAGTTTGTACTCCTGCATGTGTACTATGTATTTTATATATCTGTAGGGCACCTCCTCAATATTATACATACTCAAGAATCCTGTTTATGTGAACAAATTTAGAGGCTAATTAAGTACCAACAGACATCAACTCTGCTTTTAGAAAATAAATAAATAAAAACAATACCTAAAATCTTGTAAATTGCACAAAGATCTGTGGAGGAATTTTTACCTAACTTGTTATTATAATGAACACAAAACTTACAAAAAATTACAATTCAGACTTTTAAAAAAGTTTTATGAATAAGAAATTCATGTTTTATTAATTAATTAATTAAATTAAATTAGCATCTGCAGATGAAGATTTCCTGTAATAATAATAATAATAATATACTCGACCTGTAGATGTTCGCGTTATGAAGCTGTGTCACGTGATCATTACGTCACCTGCTCACCTGGCCGGCCGCCTCCACCTGCGCAGGTGCGGCTCATTAAAAAGCTGAGAAAGCGGAACGATGCCGTCTGTCCGTCTGAAGTCTGAAGGCGCCGAACTCAAAGTGCAGAAATGTCATCGAGCGGAGTGGAAACGGCAGCGCAGAGTCCGCTGCTCTCCTCCAGGTCTGTACCAGAACCAGAACCAGAACCAGAACCGAGTCCAGCGAGAGCCGCGCACAGACACGTTTCAGCCGGACTCGGTGTGTAAACCGGACGGGTCAGAACCGGAGGAGCTGATAAACTCCACTTGTGAAGCAATCAGAGTTTAGAGCCTCAAAACTATGAAAGTTTTAATGAAAACGTATTTAAATGTTTTTTTTTCTGCTATATTATTTTAAATTAAAAGTTAAAATGTTCACTTAAAGAACAGCTGGCATTTTTGCAGTACAACCTAAACTTCCTTTTTTTCTTCTTTTTTTTTTTTTTAGCCTGTAAATGTTCATATTTCAAAAGATTAAATTTGCCGAATCCTCCGTGAGCAGCTCCCGTTTAAAACGCATTCATGACGTTTTTCATAACTGTCACTAGATTATTGTGATGCTGAAGAAAACGTAAAAACTGCAGATTTTCAGGCAGGTTCTGCAGCCGAGAGGAGCAACGTCTGTTTGCGTGATTTCTTAGCGGATTTATGGAGATTTATTCATGTTAATTATATCGCCTGACCGTTTACATCAAATTAAATCTAAATATGTATGTTTCTTGTGTGTTACTTTAGATGTTCTTGAGTTGCGGCTGCTTTTTGACGCTAATTGCGGCTGCAGCCGAACTGCATTAACAAACCGTCAGATTTTATGGTTGAGCTTCTCTCACACAGTTTAGTCCTTGTAAAGCTTTTAATGGCACAAAAACCTCAAACATTCCGTTCAGTTAAATACATTTAAATACTTACTACCAGTTTTCAGTGACAGTTTGTTCCCCATAGTTTCTATCAGTCCACCCTGACTGGAGGTCACTGATGGAGAGAAACTTAGTTCTTTACTTTAAAATACAGCTCAGGTATTTGTATATTATTTGGGTATTTTAGTATAATGGTAGTCAATACTCGTGCTTTACCACATTTCCAAGAGAAATATTTAATTGCCCCTCAGTTTAAAGTAATTTTGGACACAAACATAATAAACTCATTAAATGTTTGTTTTTATTTTGTGTTATTTCGGAAGCCTAATTTGGTAAATGCAGCATGCAGACAAGATTTAGAGCCAGATGAAGCATAAGCGCAGAAATGAGGCAAAATCTTGGCAAACTTTGATAAAGTCAAATGTGTTTTAAGAACACAGTTTTTTTTTTTAAAAAAAAGTAAAAATCATAAAAAATGGCCATTAATTTTTTATTTTTTAAATTATTTTTTAAAGGTGGGATTTTGAAACATTGAAATAGTGTAAAAATGTTTTTATTTAATGCGTCTGTAAATATGTACATATACAGTGTAATTTCATGGCCATATTTTTACAGTCAAGTGGTTTTTCTGTAATTTTTAAGAGAAATTTTAAAAAAGTAATAAAACTGGGAAAGTCTGTCAGCAGTTTAAATTCTTTACTGTTTATCAATCTGACATGTGTGACCTATTTACACTAGTTACAGTTTTGGCCTTTGTGTTTTTTGTTTTTAACGATTGTGATTTTAATGTGGTTTTTTTGGTTGTTTTCTAAATACCAGCAGATTTCTAAAATTATACCTTTTGCTCATTAAATTCAACACAGCAGTGTAATTTTAAATCACTTGATGGACATTATTTTGGCCATTTAAAAAAAAAAAAAATTTTTTACAGTTTTTTATTTTCAGTGATTTTACTTCTCTTTCATTTCGCAAAATTGGGATAATCTGCAAAATAGCTGTAAAAATTCCAATCAAACTTTTCTTTTCTTTTCTTTTTTTTTTTAAATAGCGCACTAACAGTTTAATGTCGGGCTAAAATAATCCTGTTTTTGTTGATCAGAACATTGTAAACCTGGAGGGGCCCTTAGTGGAGGAATGTAGTCGACCATGACTGCACGGAGCCCCAGTAAACCATTATTCCATCCAACTACCACAAAACAGGTGTTTTCTTCCACTAGCCATGGTTGGCCATGGTCAGATGGGTTCTAACTGTGTATGCATTTCATGTAATGTAAAGTATAATGGCAATATAAATGTTTTCTGACCTTTAATTTAACCTTGAAATATTCTCTAAGGTAAATGTAACATCACCAACAGAAAGCTCCAACATGGTCGCTTATGGGCCCCAAACACCATAAAGCCACCCTTTTGATGGAAAATGGCATTTTTTAAAAAAGTGACCTTTGACCTCTGGTGGATCCATTTTTGCATTGATTGACCCCAAACTCTAATCACTACGAGGAAAGGCCATTCCTAACTCACCTGTAAAGTATCGACTTGTTGGACCGTAGCAGTCGAGCTTCAGACCGTTCAGACACACAGACTGATTACTCTGCAGTTGCCCCTCGTCTGGAGCAACTATAGTAACAATCAGCCATCAGCTCCTGTCAGTAGACTGACGATGGGATGTCATGTGCAGCTTCTGTTTCAGCCCGTGGTCGTGTGTTTGTGCCAAGGGCTGGTCGGCGGCCGTGTGGAACGGCCTCCCCGAACCGCTGCTGGCCGCCGCCAACGCCGCCGGATGCTCCGCCCCCGAGCCGTGGCTCCTCCCCGGCTGCAGCTCCGTCTACGACAGCCTGGTCAGGTACCAAACACACCTGTGGCCAGTTTTGCTACAAGAACATGTCCAAGTTTATTCATTTTTATACGCACAACTACACTTGATTGTTTTTTTCATAGTTTGCACCAAATCCTGCTTTGAAATATCCTGAACAACCTCATATAAGGTTGTTCCCTCACAAATCATCAGGGCCTTCTGCTCAACTGTCTCTGATTTGCTTTTTGAATTTATTTATCTTCATCATGAACGTTTGTATACTGACAATATCTGTGAAATTTTAGATTGAAACATCAATTGCTTTCTGAGGTTATTTATTTAAATTTTTTTTTAAATTCCCATCAGCCTTTTTTCAGCAGGCTCTGTTGCTCCTTCTTGCGGTTTGAACGACAATATCTCAGGAGCTATTATTAGATAAAAGCCTAAAAATGTCGATTAATTCTCTTCAGACCATCGAACGAGAATCTGCAATAATCTAATCAATTTGAAACTCCAGAGCTCTACTTGGGTCAGACTATTTAGCAACACGTTTGTTTTTGTGGTACCGTACCTGCTCAGTCAGTTACGGAAGAATAACTTGTCATTTTTGTGTCCCAGTGTTTCATATTAAAAAGTTTTCTGTAAGTTGTTTTGTTGTGTGACATGCAGCTACATCTGGCTCAGAAAATGTCACTGGTTGATTTCTGCATTACCAATTTTTTGTTAATGAGCTCAAAGGTGGGATGTCTTAATTTTTTTCATATTTTTAACTCTCATATAATCTGAGAATATTGGGTTTACTTGTCCAATATTACAGATTCTGAATCAATGACATGATGAGAAATGACAGTGAAAATTTCAGGCTTTTGTCTTTAATAGTTGCTGAGATGTTGTTGTTCAAACAGCCTCAAGTTTTAATGTGTGACAAGATGTGCTGAAGGCGGTTTAACAGGCATTAAAAAGTATTTGTCAAGCTACAACATCTTTGTAAAAGTCTATATTTCATGCTTTAAAAAAAATCAGGCTCATCAGAGGTGGTTGAGCAGAAATTCTTCTTAAAATTGGATGAAAATAGGAATCGACATCTGAGGTTTCTAATAAGTTCATAGCTGCTGCAGAGAAAAGCTGCTGCTGTGTTTTTGCTGGTGAACGTCTTGTTGTCTTCGCAGCAACGTGTCTCCAATCCCGTCTCCTCCTGCTGCCGGCGGCCTGAGAGGACGAGAACGAGCTGCTGGCAGCAAACCTCGCAGGTTTTTAAAAAAAAAAAAAGTGTTTGTTTGACCTTTTTCACTTGATTATTCCAGAGTAACGAGCTGATAACAGGCTAAAATCTTCCTTAAAGCGAAGGAAATTTACATGAACTTTAACCAGTTTCCAGCAAAGAGAGCTCTGCAGTAAAAGTTTTGTTTTCAAATGACAAATTCTCATTTTAACGTCAGATTAAACCAAAAAAAATCCACTTTTGTTGCTGTTTAAATAGTGTGAATCTTTTGTTTTGTAATTTATCCTAAAACTGTTAATCTTTTTTTATTAACTCAACATGAATATATTAATTTCATAATGCAATTAATTCAGTTTTTGTCTTTAAACCTTTCAAACAGATGATAATAGTTTTTTTTTTAAAGTCTCTTTTGTTGCAGTGAAATGGAGGCTAAAGTTCAATTTTGTGCTCTTGGATCATATTTTTTACGACTCAATGTTCTTCTGAAGTGTGGGTCATATTAAATGATGCAGAGGTTATATTTTGTCCATGACGTTGTTAGTAACTGTGTAAACTGATCACCATTGCATATCTGCTGCAGTATTTAAATTAGCCACTTTAGTTGATTGATTTGCTAAATTTTAAAAATAATATGAACGCAAAATATTTATCGATGTAGAGATGCAATATATAAATGCCTGCCACAGTACATGGGATTCTGTTTTAGACCATCAGAAAATCAGACTAGAAACAGATTTATTTCCAATTTCTTTTCCCTCAGTGTCCGTGGCAGAATTTCATGGCTGTTTTCCTTCTGCAGGCCGTCCATTCTGGAGCGTTGCATCCTCAAAGTGTCGACCAGCAGTGTGGCGGTGGGGACGGACGATGTGGACAACAAGAGGTACAGAGGAACACGCAGTTCTTACTAATTCACTGGAAGTACTATATGCAACAAATGATAAATTCCCCAATTCATCATTTACTTACAATCGAATTAATTAATCAGCTAATTAAGGCAATATGGAACCTCCAACCAACACAACCCCAGGTTCACTCTGTGGCAATCAGTTAACTGACTAATGTGATCTGGTTTATTGTATAAGACATAAATATACGATACAACAGTAAGGGGCCTCTCACTTCCTGGCATCATGTTGAATTCTAGTTTAAATACATAAAAACATATTCTGTGTGTCCACCAACCCCAAATTTTCATTTAATAAGAAGAAATTGTCCTCACTCCGTTGGTTTTTCCTGTCAAGAGATTTACTTAGTCAGTTTAAGATTTCTGCCTCCACCTTATGGGCCCTGTTCTACCTCCATGCTTCTGCAGGACCCCTTTTGGCCGCTGCTACCCCCGCCTGCCAGACCCGACCAACACCGAGACCAACACTGCGGTTCTGAAGCGACGTCAGAAACAGATCCAGTACGGCAAAAACACCAGTGGCTACCAGAACTACCTGCAGCAAGTCCCCAAGTGAGAAAACCACTCAGCAGATACTGAACTGGAAACCTCCACATCTGGACCAAACTACATGAAGACTTGCCAACCTACTGACCTTATACCCAACCAGCCGCTGACCTAACAATCGACCTCAGTGACACCCCCGACAAACGTGATGAACCTACTGACCTTAGAACCAACCTGATTACCAGTCTGCCTGACCACCAGCCTGATCGACCCACATGACAACTAGCCAACCTGCTTGTGTACCTGACTTGGCTACTGACCTCAGGACTATCCTGACAACCAATTCCCTAATCTACCTTTCAGCCAATCAACCTAATTGCCTACCTGCCAGGTTGACCTGCTGACCTTAGGACTGATCTGACTTCCAGTCTGTCTGACAACCAGCCTGATCTACCTACCAACTTGATAACTAACCAACCTACCTATTTGCCTGACTCAGATCATGACCTCATGATTCTACCCGTCTACATATCAGCCAATCTATCTCTTTATCCAACAGACCGACCTACCAGTCTACCTAATCACCTACTGATCCACCAACCTGACAACTAATCTACCAACTGACTAACCAGCCAACAACATGACCGAACCAACTCAGTCTGCCTGAATCTGTACCGAACAACCTGCCAGCTCGACTGATCTACTGATGATACGACTGACCTGACAAAGGATTTACCAGTCTGCCTGATGACCAACCGACCTACCTTACTGGCTTACGAGCCTTACAAATAACTTACAGACTGACCTATCAATCTACCTTACACCCTAACTGCCAGCGTATCTTTCTGAACAAATTGAAGACGGACTGACCAACCAGTCTACTCGATAAACTTACTGACCGTACGACAGACTTGACAACCGATCTACCAATCTGTCTGATGACCAACTGACATACGTACTTGATGACTTGCATACCAGCTTCAATACCTGCCTGGATGATTGACCTTACAGTCAAATGACGGACCAATCTATCTGGTCCTAAACCTGCCAACGTACGTATCTGACCAGAATACCTATCTGATTGAACTGAAGACAACCCATCCACCTTGTCTATGGAATTTACAGACTTTATAACAGACCTGACAACTGATCTACCAATCTAACAATCAACCAACAGACATAGTTCACAACAAAGTGACCTACCTACTAGAATGTCCACCTTGCCTTACAAACTACTGACCGATTTACTTATCTACACAATGCTTGATCTCCTAAAGTACCTCTCTAACTTTACTGGAAACTAATCACCCTACCCGAGGAGCTTACTGACGACCAGCCGACCTATCTTCTTGATGACCTACCTGACTGGCCAACTAACCTTGCAAACAAACTATGGTCCAACCTAACTACCCGTTGAACTTACTGGCCTTCCAACCAACCTGATAACCAATCTACCAGTCTACATGACATTAGATCTGACCTGCCTACGTGATGACTGACATATTGACCTAGCATAACTGATGACATCTTACTAACCTAATGACATATCTTCCAATATAACTGATCTCAAGAGCTTCAGCAGAAGGCAATTGGACCCCCCCTTTTGGTTCTTATGGAAATTTCTCGGACCTACCAATATAGCTGACAACCGAAATACCAATATATCTGATGACTAACATATCAACCTATGTGATGACCAACTGACAACCCTGTGACAGTGACGATGCTTTGTTTGTACACTAGATTCTTTAAACTCTGATCTCACCCTCAGGCACCTGAGGGATCCTAAGCTCCATCCGTCCACCCCCAACAAATACAGGAAGTACAGCCGGCGCTCCTGGGATATGCAGGTGCGCCTGTGGAGGCGAGCACTGCACCTGTGGGACCCCCCAGTCAATTCACCGCCAGACGCCATGGACACCCAGGACCCAGTGGAGCAACTGTAGGTGGACCCCAGAGTGTCTTTCCTTATTGGTATTGTTGGACATTTTTTCTGCATTTTCAATCTAAATTGCCATTCTCAGGGCATCATGCAGCTGAGATGGGGGCAGTTCAAACATTTTGTCAATTTCTTGTAAACCGATCTAATTCTTCATTTTGATATTCAAAGTGGGAAACTGCTCTCGTTTAACTCCCTGAACTCCAAGCAGTTTCTTTGCATTTTTTTTAATGTATTTTGTCCCGTTACATTTTTATTTGCTGTGGGCTCATTTTCACTGCAATAAAAGTCCTGCACCTCTATGGACACAGTACCATGGCTAGAAGTGGAGAGAACTTTCAAATGGTTTATGTGCGGAACAACACACTCAAAATGACTGAAATGATTTTTAAAAAAATTTAGATTTTAGATTATTTTATAAAAAAATATTTAAAAAACTTGGAAGTGCCCCAGAGTGTTATAAATACTGGAAAAAGGCCCTCTGTGCACTTTATATATTTAGCTCCTGACATTTTAAATTTGTTTCTATACTCTCTGGAAACACAGCCTGCAGTTCAGCCAAAATTAGTTTTTGTCACCTGACTGTTGGTCGCAGCTGAGTCACGGCTGGTTTTGCAGTTATGCTGAGGAGTGCAGAATTATTTTTGTTTTTGTACTCAATCTGGTTAGAGCAAGCAGTTTGTTTTGAGACCTGTACAGTAATGTGATTTTTCGTTAAATTTTAAGCTTAGATTTTATTCATATTCCTGACGAAACGGCGCATCACAGATGAGTAGTTCAAGAATGGCAGGTTTTGCGGTTCAGTGGGAGCAGATGACAGACAGCGAAATGAAAACTCGCCATCCTGTGTCGGTTATAATTGATTAATTTTATTTATTTGCAGGCAGAGCCAGCTGGCGAAGATGACCTCTGATCTTTGTGAGGACGGAGGAGACGAGCAGAGAGAGAAGGAGACTCTAGCAGCCTCTAAAGCCTCCTCCGTGTCTCCTCTGTCGTTCGCAACGTCCATTGAGCCGCCTGGAGCCTGGACCGTCCCGCAGTCACCGGTAACACCGATCAGTAATCAATAACCTGCAACTCCATGATTGAGTAGCTGCTTGTTAAAGACGCCGCCTGTATTAAACTGTATGTGGCTTATTAATATATCAGATGGCTAAACTTGAGATTTTAAATTAAGCAATGTTTAAATTTCCCAAAGGTTAATTTTTATAGCACATTTCAGATGCTTTACAAAGTGCATTAAACAATGTAAAAGGGAATAATAAGACAAACATTTAAATTACAAGTATAGCTGATTTTAAGACAAAGTACAAAATATATGAGAAGGACAGCTTTTATAAAAAGTTGAGACAAGACTTAGACTGAATTTTTACAAAAGTGGCAAATTATTTGAGTACACAGCGCCCCCTGGAGTGTGGAGGCCTCATTAATCCCAACTTGTGTCTGTATTACACAAATGAGGCTTTCAGAATTATTAGCAGCAAATATGTGAAATTAGAAGTTTGTCAGGGCTGCTGCTGTTTTATAATCTTTTTTTTGGTAGGTATCTTTCCTGTAAAACTTTTATTCATTTGAACAGTTTCAGTATTTAAGTTTTTAGTCTCCATTCTCGGATTCCAGCTTCTCAAATGGAAATATTTCATGGTTTCTTTTCTCCTCTATGACCATAAACTTAATATCTTTGGGGTTGTGGATAAAACAACCTGAACTTTGGTAACCACTGATCAAAATCTGCCACCATTTTATGACATTCTAGAGACCAAAAGAACCACTTCATGCAGGAAGTAACTGACACTGAAAATACTGTATGAATAAAACGTAATTTAAAGTCAGATTTGGTCGCCTCCAGCAAATTTTAGAATCAGGATGAATTTTTAAAAAGTTTAATTTCTGTGATTGCAGCTTCCTAAATGTTGGTGGAGGAAATAATCACCAGATTAGTCAGCAATGAAAATAATCTTCAGTTGCAGTCCTAAAACAAATCTTTATCAAACAAACTCCATTCTAGAAAGTTTAGATTTAAAGCCGAGCAGAGAATGAATGAATGAACCTGATTTTGTTTTTTAACTCTGATTTTGGTCGCCTCCAGAAAATTCAGGATCAGATCGGTTGACTCAGTTTGGAGGTTTTTGTAGTTCAACAGAGTCGAGAATCTTCTTGAAAAACGACTGATGGGGTTGTGGACAAAAGCAAGACCTTTGTCGTCTCGAGGAAACAGATTTTTATAGACTAAACCACTAATCCAGAAAGAAATTGACAATGAAAACAAGCTTAAGTTGCAGCTGTAGAATGAACCTTCATTCTAAAAAGTTCCAATCTAAAGCCGAGGCAGAGAACGTATGAATAAACCTCATTTTAGCTCCGATTTGGTCGCCTCCAGCAAACATATCTTGGTTCTGTAAAAGAAAACATTTGTCAAATCACAGCTGAAGATGTGAATGATCATTTGAAACGTTTTTAAAGGCAGGGTTTGTATGTTTCTGGGAGTAAATGTGTTGCTTTCTGCACCAGACGAGCCGCCGCCGCCGTCTTCGCTCTCCTCCTGGCTTCAGCTACTCCCTCAGGAATCAGCTGACCGCCGACGACAGCATGGCCGACTGGCTGCCCCCCCGGCTGCTGGACGCCGACCACGCCCCAGGTGGTTCAATTTGGCTAACACTTTCTCTTTTCTCTTAAAATATAAACATTTCTTAGATTAATATAATATGTTTAATATTTCATCTAAATAAAAATGTTAACATTCTATGTCATCATTTTGTGAAAAGGGACATTTTATCTTTTTTTTTTTTCAGATTTAACTGAAAACTGACAGAATTGATAATTTTATCTGGTAATTTAGATTTTTTTTTCTTTAAAAAAAAAAAAAAGTACTAAAACAAGTTACTACTTTTTAAAAAATTCTTTTTGTCTTGTTAATTTAATTTTTTTGAGATCATTTTGACTTATCTGGTTGTTTTTTAATCTGAAAAGCTTGACTGGTTATTAAATTGTAATAAAAAATAATTATTTCAGAATTATGACAAATAGTTTTTTATTGTGGCAATTTTGACTTTTTATCTTTTAATCTATCTTTTGACCTTTTATTGTGACCGTTTGTTTTTATCTCATAACACTGATGTTTGAAAGCATAAGATTCATGTTTTATCTGGTAAATTTGACTTTATAGTCAAGTCATTTTGACTTCTTGTTTCATCCTTTTGTCATCCTAACTTGACTTTTTATGGGATAACTGACTTATCTGGTTGTTTTTAATCTAATAGTTTTGACTTATCAGATTTTAATTAAATATAGTTTTCTTTTTTTTCTTTAATAATAACAAAATTGGCTTTTTTCTGATAATTTTGACTTTATCTGGTATTTTGGACTCTTTGTCATACTTGTTTTGACTTTTAGTGTTCAGTTTTGTGTTTATCTCGTAACGCTGTTTGACAGCATAAAATTGATTTTTTAAAAATTTTTTTAAATCAGATTTTAAGAAGAATGTTTATCTGATCATTCATATATATATATATATAAAAAAAAAAAATTTTCTTACAGGTTTTAACTTTTGTCTCACAGCTGTAACAGAGTTTTATTTTTCATGTGCTCTAGTTTATTCTTGTCGTCTCTCGTGGCTCGTCTTTGACCTCCGTCTTGTCTCCTGGCAGAGTTCGGCTCTGACGACCAGCAGGTTCCGGTGTTTTCCGACCAGCTCCTGTGGAACCCATACTGACGGTCTGAAGCGACCTTGCTGATCTTGAACGTGTCGGAGTTGTGTGTCTTATTTTATGGATGATTGGATGTAACGACAGCCGGGATGCGACTGGTCCTGGGTCACAGTCGCCCCCTCTGGTCTGTCCTCGGAGGCGGGAGGAGGGCAGCGTCGAGGTTTCCCAGCTGCTCTGGAACGCAGCCTCGGCTCGGACAGCTGGTTCTGTGGTTTGCACTTGAAATATTTAAGTTGGACACTTGTCACCTGCATCGTGTTTTGAGTCCTGCACTGACGGAAAAGTACCTGAACTCACCTGAATCTGTTTGTCACCTTGTTGTTGTTGTTGTTGTTGTCGTCGTCGTCACGTCACCTTCGTGCTGTCTGTCGGTCTCGATCGGGCTCCTCCTCTTTGCGCCGCCATGTTTTTTCTCAAAAACAAACTCCCTGATGAGTGGAGGGAGTCGCTGTCACTTTGTGATGTTTATTTTTTTTCTTTTTTACTTTTTCTCGATTGTTTTGTGCTGCTTGAATCTCGAGCGAAGCTGAAAGATGTGATTAATAAAGATGTAAATAAAGTGTTATAAATTCACAGGCTGGCTGTCTTTTCTTCTTACTGTCCCTAAAAATAGAGCTAGAACCTTATTAATCCTGTTGTAATTCTTTAAAATGACAGAAAATGATTCGATAGATAAAAGCACCACATACATGTAAAATAAGGAGAAAAAAAAGACCAGTTTTGTCTTCATCTCGTAGGTTTTGACTTTTCGTCTCAACTTGTAAATTTCAACTTTTCATGTGAGAATTTCATTTTTTTAAAAATCATCACTTTGACAAATATTTTGATATTCTTTTTTATCTCAGTTTTGACTTATCAGATTTTAACAAAGATTTTGTTTCTCACAAAACTGACAATGGATTTATATCAAGTAAATTTTACTTCATTTCATTCTTATTTCTGATTTTGACATTTTATGGTTTAACTTTGATTCATCTATTTTTTTTTTTAAAAAAATCAAATAATTTTGATTTTTAATCAGCGTTTAACCAAACAGACTTTATCTCACAACGCTGACAAGATTCACTTTTATTCTGGTCATTTTAATTTTTTGTTTCCTTGTTTTGACTTTTAATGAGCTGTGTTTTTATCTCATGAAATTGACATCTGACAGCAGAACACGGACATTTTTTTCTGGTGATTTCACTTTTTATCTGATTGTTGTTTTATCTTATTTAGTTTTTTATCCGAATTTTACAAAGTGTTGATTTTTTTTATTTTTCTTTTTTTAACAATCATATTTTAGGAAAATATTCAGTTTTTGTCCGGTAATTTTAGCTTTTTATCTTCATAGGTTTTGACTTTATATCTAAAATAAAAAACCAAACTTACCAACTGACTTTTTTGTCTAATTATTTCTTTCGCTTGCTGTTTCATTTTTTTTTTTTTTACGTCATTGTTAAATGTTGTGTCTCTTTGCCTTTGAACAGGTATTTTTGACTTGTTTCAGTATTTTGTCAAATTATTACTTTGACTTGTTTTAATATTGAGTTTTTGACTTTTATCAGGTATTTCTGTCTTGTTTTTTCATTATTTGTCCTATTTTTATATTGACTTTTTATCTGATTATTTTTGACTTATTTTGTCAAATCAGTGACTTTGACTGTGATATTATGTCATTATTTGTTTTGGACTTTTAACAGGTAATTTTGTCTTGTTCCATTCTTTTGTGTTATTATTATTTCTTATTATTTGTCTTTTAAAATGTAATTATGACTTGTTTCATTATTTTATGTCATCTTTTTATTGCTTTCTTGGGTAATTATTCTTTGTTTCCTTATGTCATTTTTTTATTTGCTTTGACTATTATGAGGTAATTTTGCTTTGTTGTATAATTGTATGTCATTATTTATAGTTTTATCAGGTAACTTCCTGTTTTTCTGTGTTTTTACATCTTAATTGTTTTTTTATTTTTATCAGGTAATTTTGCCTTATTTTATAATCATATGTCTTGATGAATTGTTATAGCAGGTCATAACTCCTGGTGTTGTGTTTTTATATCTTATTTGTAATTGTTTTTGAGTTTTATCATGTAAATTTGCCTTGTTTTATGATTGTATGTGATCTTACTTGTTTTATCAGGTAACTCTGCCTTGTTGTTTTGCGTTTTTATGCCTTATTATTAAAGGTTTTGACTTTTATCGGGTCATTTTGCCTTGTCTCATATTATATGTCATGATTACTAGTTTGATCAGGTGACTTTGCCTTATTGATTCCTGTTTTTATGTCCTCTATTAGATATTTGGTGACCGTGCTCGGGACCGTCCGGGGGTCAGTCCGGGTGCTGCCGGGCCTCGGACGGAGCCTCCTCCGTCCACACGGCGCGCTGCTGCAGCCTGGCGGCCTCACGTCGCCCGTTTTGAGCGGGTTTGTCCTTTACTCGCCGCCGTCTCACCTCCTCGAGTGAAACAACAGCTCCGACCTGCTGCTGTAAACAAGCTGCTGTGTCAGCGGGAAACTACAGCTCCCATCATCCTCAGCGCCGCGGGGCTTTTTCTCACACTTTGACGATTATTTTTTATTTCTGTCCGATTTGTGCTCGGACGGTCGGCTGCCGGCGGAGCTGCGGAGCTGTCGGAGGAGAATAAACCGTAAATAAGCGGCAGGTGATGAGGTGAAGCACCGCCCTCCTCCTCCTCCTCCTCCTCCTCCTCCTGCCGCCGCTGCTGCTGCTGCCGCCCCAAATGTTATTTATGAATGCCCACCGCTCACGGGCGTGTGCGCGCACACTCTTCGTTATTATGTTTAAATAATTACCGGACGCTGGACATTAGCCGGAGCCGATGTGTAAGTGCGTCCCGGAGGCTGCGGCGGCCGCTCCGTGCGGTTAAACCCACACTTTAATTCATTGTGGTCGGTTTGGTGCTGACAGCGGCGGCGGCGGGCGGAGCGGCGCGTTCTGCTCTTTAATAATACTGGGTCAATACACCGAGCACCGCCGCTGCACCCACCGGAGACGCCTCCACCCGTCACCCGACAAGGTAAGCGTGCCACCCGGGGTTGTTTGGTTCGGTGGTTCGGGTTCTGGTCGCTGGCTGTCCGGGCTCCATCCCGCAGCATCCCGCCGTGTTTTCCTCCTCACGCTGCTCCGGGAGCTCGCAGGCCGGCCACACGCTCCCACCGCCACCGCTATCATCACCGCTGTTAGCCCGCACGGTCTCCGGCTGGGAGTTAGCCTGTGGGGGATTCGGCTTTAAGCGGAGATAACGGCTGTGGGCTGGCGGCCGGAGGGGCACGGCGGACCGGCGGCATCCCGGGTGATGTTCGCTGGTTTGTTTGTGAAATCACGGCGGCTAACGCTGCTAGCGGGTCAGTTAGCCGCCGTTAGCTGCTGCTGCTGCCTGCTGCCCCTGGATGCAGCCAGGCGGCCAGTGTAGCTCCATGCTAGCCCCGCAGACCCGCGGAGCAGACTGGCCCGAGCCCCCGGAGCCTGTGAGGCGGCGGAGGAGACACAACAATCATGCAGCGGTTTTGTTTCAGCGAGCAAAATGGCTGAATTTATTGTGCCGACCTTGAGAGTAATAACGACATGACATATTATTTATAGCAAGCTAGCTGTTTCTAGCTAGTTCAGCTGGTTGCTCTGTGATGGAAGAGACTGCCGTAACACAACAATTATGAATTATGTAATTTTCTGTACGATGTTTACGTTCAGATTTCTTAATGACATCCCAAATTTAATCAGAACTCAAAAGGAGAAACCGCTACATGAGCGTGTTAGCATCCCTCATTGAAAACAATGGGATGCGTTAGCCACAAGCTAGCAGCAGCCGGAGATGCCCAGCGGCCTCAGTCAGTCAGAGAGGCGGCTCGGCTCAGGCTGCACAGCGGCCTCCGCTGCCAGGGACAGCCTGTCATCTCCAGACACCGAGCCGGTACCGACCCCCGGTACAAAAACAACCAGGGGCCCGACTGTTTGTGGACCCGGACCCCATTCATAGGCGCCCAGAGTGTCACGGGTCCATCAACAGTAGGGAAAGTAACTAAGTACTTTTACTCAAGTACAGTTCTGAGTAGGGCTGCAGCTAATCATCAGTTTTCTACATTTGTCATTCTCATCTTTTTGCGGTTGTTTTGTCTGTTTTTATTGCTACTTGCTGTCTGTCTGTGGTCCTTTTGGGTCTCATTGCTGTTGCCTTGTGTCTCTGTTGCAGTTGGTTTGCATCTCCATGATTGTGTTGCATCTGTCTGTAGTCACTTTGTGTCTCTCTGTGGTTGTGTTGCATCTATGTGAGCTTGTTGCATCTGTTTGTGGTCTTTTTCTGTCCCTCTACAGTCGTCTTGTGTCTTTGTGGTCGTTTTGCATGTCTTTGTGACGGTTTTGCATCTTTTTGTGGTCATTTTGTGTCTCTTTTGCAGTTGGTTTGCATCTCCATGATTGTGTTGCATCTGTCTGTAGTTGCTTTGTGTCTCTTTGTGGTTGTGTTGCATTTGGTTGTGGTCTTTTTCTGTCCCTCTGCAGTCGTCTTGTGTCTTTGTGGTCGTTTTGCAGGTCTTTGTGATGGTTTTGTGGTCATTTTGTGGTCTCTTTTGGCAGTTGGTTTACTTCTCTGTGACTGTGTTGCATCTGTTTGCAGTTGCTTTGTGTCCCTCTGCGGTTGTTTTGCATCTTTTTGTGGCCATGGGACGTCCCTTTTGCAGATGTTTTGTGTCTCTTTGCGGTGGTTTTGCATCTTTTGGCGTGTTGGGTCTGTTTGTGGTCATTTTGCGTGTCTTTGTGATGCTTTTGCATCTCTTTGCGATCTCCACTGTGGCTTTGCGTGTCTTTGCAGTCATCTTGCGGCGTTGTGAGTCTCACTGCGATGGTTTTGCGTCTCTTTGCACTTACTTTGTGTGTCTTTGCCGTCGTTTTGCATCACTTATGATCATCTGGTTTTTCGGTGCATACAGTGTCAATAGTAGTGAAATATATAATCCACTGTGCATTTTTAAAACAAAACATCATTGTAGGAAAAAAGGTGAAATAAGCCGTTTCTGATAGTAATGTCGCTGCAGGTTACACACATTTTTCATAATAATTCTGTAAATAAGTAGGATCATGAAAGTGGAATTTGTAAAGGAGTTTTTTTTTTTTTTTTACTGTTGCCATTTCTGTAAAATAGTGAAAGGAAGCGGGATACTCAGATTGTAGACTGTAATAGACGATGAGCTGCGTTGTGATTCTCTGTGTATCACTGTGACCTGAAATGACTCATGTTGTGAATTGGTGCTATTTAAATACAACTGAGGTGTAAATGATTGTAAACTGAACATTTCTGAGTCACTTGTGGTCATCTTCACTGTTCACCGTTTTTTTTTCTTTTCTTTTTTTAAGGTTTCTAATTTTATACTCTAAGACGTTATTACCTGTGGGTTTGGGACTGATGGCCACCAGACAGGTGAAGGTGTCGCTTTGTGCTCTGAGAAAAACATATTGGTTTAGATGTTTTTTTTTACAGACATGAAGCCTGAATGGGTTCGATCTGTGTCGAGGTTCATTTTCACTTCTGTAATTAAAACGGTGAAAAATGCTTATTACAGTTTCCTAAAACTCAATCTCCAAACGCATCGTTTCAACCGACCAGCGATCTCGACATCTTCAGTTTGCTCGTCTTGTATTCGATTTGAAAGGATTAAATAGAATTATCCTTCTATTTTAATTCAAAACTTTTCCTCAAACTTGACAAATCTCTGTTTTGCGACACGCGAATGTGCAGAACTGCAAACATTTGATGCTTTCAGCTTCTCAAATGCCATAAACGTTGGTCTGATGTCAGAGGAGTCGGACAAAAGAAAACATTTGTGGACGCTGAAGAATTTTAGTCAACGATAAATATCTCAGTCATCTTCTGTTTGTGCTGGTTTTGCGTCTCTTTGTGGTCTTTATGTGTCTCCACGATCACGTTTTGTCTCTTTGTGGTAGTTGTGCGTCTTTTTATGGTCATTGTGTGTCTCCTTTCGTTTGTTTGGCGTCTTGCTGTCGTTTTGTGCGTCTTTTGTAGTTGTGTTTTCTTTGTCGTCGTTTTCAGTCAAATGCTTTGTTGTGTCGGCTGTGTGTCTTTTTGCAGTTGTTGTGCATCTCTTTGTGGTCTTTATAGTTGTTTTGTGTCGTTTTATGGTTATTTGGATCTGGTTTTGTTCATTTTGTATCACTTTGTGTTTGTTTTTTATCTCTTTGTGGTCATTTTGTGTCTCGTTTTGCATTTCTTTTTGGTCGCGTCATTTTGTGGTCATATTCGTGCTTCTTTGTTCTCGCTTTGTGTCTCCGCCATCGTTTTGCGTGTCTTTACAGTGGTTTTACATCTTTTTGTGGTCAATTCGTGTCTGTTTATTTTGTTTCTCTGCTGTCGTTTTGTGTGTCTTTAAGGTTGTGTGTTTGCTTCACGCTTGCTTGTGTCTATTCGCTCCCTTTTTGCTTCTCAGCGTTTGTTTTTTGTGTCTCTTTTCATTTATTTGGTGTGTCTTCGCTGTCAATGTGTGTGTCTTTGTACTTTGTTGTTGTTGTAGTCCTTTTCAGTCTCAACGTTTGCTTTGCGCTTGTTTTGTGTCTCTTTGTTGTCATTTTGTGTCTTGTTGCGGTCGTTTTGCATCTCTTGGTGGTCATTTTGTGTTTCCTGTCAGTTTTCATCTTTATGTACATTTTGTTTCACTTCTTTTGTGGTCATTTTTTGATCTGTTTGTGTTTGTTTTGCATCTCTTTAAAGAGACAGGGCATTTCTTTAAAGTCTCTTTGTGTCTTTGCATTCATTTTGTGTCCCTTAGTGTTTGTTTTGTATCCCTTTGCTGACGTTTAGCAGCTCTGTGTTTCTTTTACGTCTCATCGTAGTTGTCCTGTCTCTCTCTGTGGCCATGTTGCATCTTTGTGGCTGTTTTATATCTCTTTGTGGTTGTGTTGCATTTCTGCAGTCATTTTGTGTCTCTTTATGGTCATTTTGCCTCTTTGTATTCATTTGATGTCTCAGCATTTGTTTTGCATCTATTTTTTTCTATCTTTATGGTCATTTTGTGTCTCGTTGTGGCTGTTTTCATGGTGACTTTGTATCTCTATTTGTTTTGTGTGTCTTTGCAGTTGTCTTCTCTTTGTAGTTTTAATCTTTGTGTTTTTGTGCATCTTTGTGGTTGTTTTGCATCTCTTTGTGGTTGTTTTGTGTCTCTTTGTGGTTGTTTTGTGTCTCTTTGTGGTTGTTTTGCGTCTCTTTGTGGTTGTTTTGCATCTCTTTGTGGTTGTTTTGTGTCTCTTTGTGGTTGTTTTTTGTCTCTTTGTGATTGTTTTGCGTCTTATGTGGTTGTTTTGTGTCTCATTGTGGTTGTTTTGCATCTCTCTGAGGTTGTTTTGTGGTTGTTTTGCGTCTCTTTGTGGTTGTTTTGTGTCTCATTGTAGTTGTTTTGCGTCTCTTTGTGGTTGTTTTGTTTCTCATTGTGGTTGTTTTGTGTCTCTTTGTGGTTGTTTTGCGTCTCCTTGTGGTTGTTTTGTGGCTAATTTGCATCTTTGCAGTAATTTTAAGTGTTTGAACATTCTGCAGCGCTCACCTGCTTGTCCCTTCCCGCCAGGTGTGTTGCCGGAGCAACAGCTGACTGATGATGTCCTTGTGAGCGTGGGCGGGGCTACGTGGCCCTGAGGCGGTAAGGAGGAGGAGTCTCGGCCCTCAGCCCCTCCCCCCTCTCTCCTGTTGTTGCTACGGACCAGACGGACGGACACACAGACGGCCAAAGATCTCCCCTCCCTCCTCGTCCTCCTCCTCCCCCCCTCTCCCCCCCTTTCTCTCCCCCTCCTCACCTCGCCTCCTCCCTGCCTCCCTCCCCCGCCTCCCCCCTCGTCCCCTGCCACCATGCTGTGGTCACGCTGCTGGTGGAGAGCCTGAGGAAGCAGACTCTGGAAGGCGACCCTGCTCAGCCGGGGGACTTCTACCTGGTGAGTGTCTCACCTGCAGTGCGACCAGAGGGCTGAACTACGAAGCAGGTTTGACTTAGTCGGGCTTTCTTGGTGTAAGTCGGCTCGACTAAAACGAAAACCTCAGTCAGAGTCGATCATTTATCAGAGCAAGTTAAAGTCGCCTGTATGGAAACAGAACAACCACGAAGGAAGTGTAGAGAACTCAGAAATGTCTTTTGTGCTGTAAGACACAGTTAGAACGCCATAAATGTAAAACAGAAAAAAAAAAGGGAAAAACTTCAGTTGAATTTATTTGATTATTTATCGTACAAAAATGTAAAAATCCTGGATTCACACAAATCTTACAACACAGGAAAAAACATTGAGGCTCCACAAGCTGTAGATATTTAACAAACGACTTTTTAGTAATTAAGTTCATTTATTATTTATTTATTTATTCTCAAGTAAGATGTTTGTTATTTTTCTTGCTGGTGACATGATTTTATTGTATGAGATTTGCTTTATTTATTTTTATTTTTTAACAAATATTTATTCTACTTCTAATTTTAATTAATTTCATTTATTATTTCTTTTTTACAAAAATATTTGGTGTTGACTTGCTGGTAACCTGATTTTTTATTTTTTTTTTGCATAAAGTTTGTGTTAAAAAATGTTCTGTTTTAATTAATAATTATTAAGATTATTATTATTTATTTTATTGTTTATTGCTCATGTATTATTTATTAAGAATGTTGCTTTTTTTCTATGGTAATGTGATTTATTTTTTTCTCTCTCTCTCTCTCTCAGCGCGACTTCATGATTACGTATAAGTGAAGTGTGTAATCGGTTTACAGATTTTACAGCTGTTTTTTTGTACAGTTTTTCTCGTACGGTACAAATAAATAAATGAGATAAAAGTAGGAAAAGCTGAACAATGGAAATTTAACACTGCGGCTATGGACAGAGCCGACTGCTTAGTGTGTTAATTTTGTATATAAATCCCTGGTTTGTTGTGCGCTTTTGTTATACATGTGTGTATTTGTGATTTCTGTAGATTGCTGCCAAAACACTGCAGGTTCCGATTCTCCGTTTTATTATATTCCAAGTAAAGACAGATGTTGTCATATAAATGTTTATTATAATCAGTTAGTTGCTCTCATTAATCTCAGCTGTTACTGTCATGAGGAGAAAAGCGTGACCAGGACTAATCCATGGTTTTATAGCGGCGAGGGGGCCAGACTACCTGTGAACACCCCCACTGATGTCTGTGTTTGTGTCTTGTAGTCCCTGCTGGACCCGAAAACCCTCGCAGAGTGCTGGCCCCCAGATGGCTTGATGCCTGGTGAGTGTTTCATATTGACTGTGTTCATCTCAGTGGTTTCCTACATATCCCATAATGCAACAGTGTGGTGAAGAAACAAACACTCAGAAAACACTGAATAATGATAATTCCCCCCCCTTTTTTTTTTGATCATTCCATGTCACATCTTTAAAAATGTCTTTACACTCACAATCTTCAGTGTATTTAGGGAAGCCATGCCACATTTTACCTTCATACTACAGTTACAGACCCTTGAAGTACATCAGGATGGCCTTTAATTAAGTTGTTTCATTCTCATTATTTCATCCCTCATACTTTGATCAGTACAGCAGGTAGACACATTTGAGTTCTGTTGAAACCTGCAACAAAATCAGTTTTACATCCATCCAGGTGTCACAAAATCAGTTTGTTGTTTATTGAGCATCAATATGATGGGATGTGTCATAGTTTGAACAGTGAAACTGCAGCAGTTTAATGTTTAATTTCTATGATTCTGTCACAGAAACAATCATTGGTATCCTGGATGTGTTTTTGTTTTCTGACAATTCACCAGACGAAACTTAAAGAAGTGCATTCTGGGTAAACTTTTAAGGCTCATATCGGCATGTGTGATGGTGGTTGGTCAGAACAAGTTCTAGACGATGAAAGGATGACTTTTACCAGGATCATCTTCTAGACACGGTTCACTCTGTGGCAAAACTATTTTCTAATCTTATTCGGCGAGATGAGCGTTTAAGTTCACGAGTCCATCCTCCGTACTTACCTAATGGTCTGTAGCTGTGAAAATATTCATAATGTAAAGGTAAAACCTTCATGACATTAAATATACTCAAGTTAAAGTTGATTAAAACCAGGTTGGATGTACTGATTGATGGAATGAAATGAAATGATTATTACATATTATATGAGGACTCTAACCATCAGACGAATCGATAGTTCAAGTGATTGTTCTCTAACCTGTGGTGTTGGTGTGTCCTCTCAGAGAGCAGCTACTGGCAGCTCTGCCCTCCCTCCAAGTCCGGCCTGCAGGGGGGGTTACTGAGCTCTAGTTTCCCCCCCGGCCCTGTGCCCCTGGTGCCCCCAGATGCTCACCTGCAGGAGGGCGGCGACCCCCTGGACGGGGCCGCCTCTCAACCGCAGCAGCACCGGCCCCTGGCGCCCAGCACCTCAGCGTCCGAGCTGTCCCTCCCCGGAGCGGCGGCGCCCCCTCCAGGGCCCGGACCCCCTCCCCCTCCTCCGCCGCCCCCCAAACGCCACTGCCGCTCGCTGTCGGTGCCCGAGGACCTGTCGCGCTGCCGCTACACCTGGCGACCCAGCGCCTCACGGGTCTGGACTCCTGTCAGTCGCCAGCAGTGCCATGGGGGAGCCGGGGGAGGGGTTGCAGGTGGGGGGGTCGGGGCAGGAGGAGGGGGTATAGGTGTGGGAGCGGCTGGGGGCGGAGCCTGCCCTCTCCGAGCTCCCAGCTCCTCCCTGAACTCGTCGCTGCACTCCTCGTCCAGCCCCACCTTCTTCAGCCTGGCGCTGTCGCCGGACTCCCCGCTGCCCTGGACCTTCCCCTGGGACCCCAGCGAGGCGGCGGCGGGGGGAGGAGCCTGCTGCTGCTTCTTCCCCTCGCCGTCCTCCTGCTCCTCCTCACCCTCCCCCCTCCACCCGCCTCCCCCTCCTCAGAGGCGATTCTCCCTCTCCCCTGTGCTCATCAGAGACTCGGCGGCCTCCACCTTCCTGCCCCCGCCTCCGGTGCCGAGCCAGTCGGCGGTGCCTCCGCCGGGCTGCGCCGCTGCGGCCGGAGCGACCGCAGGGGTCCCGGTGCCCGCCTCGCCGTCCTCGGCCTGCAGCACGCCGTCGTCTCTGCGCCGCAGCCTCCCGCCACAGCTGCCGCGCTGCCACTCGCAGCCCTGTGACCTGCTGCTGCTCAAACCGGGTCTGAAGCGACGCCGCGACCCTGACCGACCCTGCGCCCGACCCGTCCTCGACTTCACCAAGATGACGCAGGTACTGCAGGAGCTCCCCGATCTGAACATGATTCATTCATGTAGTTTGAAGCTGTCATATTTAATCATATAAAGACGCCTGTCAGGTGTCGTTATGAGGCGACGCCTGAAGGATCTTAAAGATTTTTAAACTGGTTTGTTCGCTTCTGCTGGCATTTTACGATCGAGGGTCAACAGTTAGTCCATTGATTTATTTGTTCCAGCAAATAATCAACAGATGAATGTAAATACTTGTGTATTATTATTGTTACTTGTGATGTAAAAGTCTTTCTTCCTGTCATCCTTGCAGACTCGCAGCATCGACCCACAGTGTCTGGAGCGCGGTGGCGGCAGGCTGGCCTGCGGCGGCGACATTTGCATGGGCATGGAGCCCTTCATGGGCGACTTCCGGGGTTCCTGCTCGCCGGCCGAGTGTCTGGGCAGGACCAGCATCGGGCCGCTGAGCGAGAGCGACGAGGAGTGCCGCGAGGACGACGACGACGATGACGATGACGGGGAGGAGGAGCCAGATGAGCGCGAGGCGGCGCAGCAGGCCGTGTTCGAGAGGGACTGTACAGAACTGGACTTGAACTTAATAGAAGAAAACTGACGTATTTGTAAATGAAGGCTGTTCTCTGTTTTCTAATTTAGTTTTATTTTGAAACCCCCTTCGTCATGGACCACCATCGTCTCAACACTCGGCGCCTCCTTGCCACCAATCAGCAAGGCTCTCAGGAACAACACCTTCTCTCATTGGATGAGCTGATTGATGACGACAGTGATGATGTGGCTGCCGGCGTTAAGGACTCTTTAAGTGCTGCGGCTTCACCTGGACTCACCTGGAGCGTCTCTGCTGTGTGTTGTACAGCGAGGATCTCCACTACAGGTGTGTGAAGCCCAGACGGTCCAGGTTTTCTCCAACACGCAGCCGCCGAGTCTCTTTTATGGTCTGACGAGGCGTCCGCCGTGAAGCGACCTGAAACGTCACCACGCCGACCGCACAGCAGGTTCAGCTGCATCCAAAACACCAAAGATTCCAAATCTTTCAGGTTGACGGTTCCTGATCGTTTTTAGAGATCAGTTATTAGAGGAAAATGCAGAAAAATCACAGATTTTAAAAAATAAATAACTGGAGCAAACTGAAGAATTAACAAACTTGAAGCTGCTTGAGGGGAAACTTAAAAGATTTAATTAGAACCCAAACAATTTGCCCAAACTTTGCGCTTATACATATTAAAAGTTCGCGCTGAAAATAAAAAGGATGATGTCATTGTTAAACGTTTCACAAATTAGTTCAAACTTACCTTTAAGACGATGCTCGACTCCACACCTCCGTCTGCTCAGCTGTGCTACGTACTCTGCTGCATGTGCTGCAGACAGCACTGGACAAACTTTACGATAACACCATTTTTAGATGACCTTTTTCTGAACTATGTTCAGTAAAAAATACACATCAGCGCACACCGAACAAGCTTCGGTCAAAATCAAAAGAATTTAGTAAATATGTGGCTGTCTCAGATTTTGTTCAGAGTTTACGGATTTGTTATGAAGCAACTCGTGGCTTTGCACATGTATTGACAACATAAAGACCCCAATGAACACCAGTTTTTGTCTCCTACAGATGAGTCCACATCACCATTCTGTCCAAATTGCTGAAAAAAAAAAAAAAAGAACCATGTGTTGTTGTTGAACTTTCCGGGGCCCCAGTAGCCTCCTCGCTTGAAAATGTTTCTCATTTTCAAGGGGCTATAATTATAAAATTGGCCTCTGCTGAAGCCATTCAATCATCTGGATCTCCTGGAAACAATTTTGTTTGCGTTTCCGCTAAATTCAAAGTGACTGTTATGTATCTGAAGATGTTGGACCCTAAAAATACAAAACTTTCCAGGTCTGAAAACGCTTGAAAATCTCAAGATTTGGCGAAAAATATTTTACAGAATGTAGTTTTGAGTCCCAAATAACAAATGTGTGAACTCAGCAGGCAAAATCTCCGATAGGGCAGCAACACCGCTTTCTAAAAATGAGGGACTGACCCACAACATATACGCCAACATCAATACATGTGACAGGCCAATAAAGTTTAAATCGGCTGTCAGGGTTTGATGGTTCAGGTCAGCCATTTCTGCACAAATTTAACTCAGTACTATTATTTTGATAATGAAATCAAATTAAATTAACAGCAAGCCTCTGTTTGAATTTCATTTTAACAACGTTCAGCTTTAATAAAACTTAAATAGAAGTTTATTCTTCTGTCACACAATTGCTAAGTTTGAAATTATTCTACGTTTCAGGCTCATTTTTGTCATTTTTTTCAGCCAAAGCTGCAACAAAATGTGAAGAAATCCTCTTTAGACCTAAAAAACAGGCTGTTATTTTATGCATGCATTAGCTAGAAGGATAAAAGCTGATATGCAAAGAGAAAGGCGAGAAAAAAAACGTTCTGCCATCCTTAAAAAGTTTCATAAAGAATTGAATTTGAGGCTGTGAAATTCTCGCAGCAGTTCAACAGGATTTAAAGTTCTTATTTAAACGTGAGATTTTCTGCATCATTAATCAGCTGCTGCCTGTTCAACCGTAACGTTAACATCAGTCATGACATTCAGGTGAGTCACGCTGATCACTCACCTGCCTGGACACCACCTGGTGGAGTCGCGTGACCTCGGCGTGGTGATGCGTTCAGGGTGGCTGCCGTGCGGCGGCGGCGTCCCGTCGGGCTTCACTGAGGGCAGGTAGCCACTGATGCTGTTGTTCACCTGAGTGTTCACACATTCCTGTTGCACACACCTGTCACTGAAAACACTACGAACACTGTGTGTGTGTGTGTGTGTGTGTGTGTCTGTCTGTCTGTGTGCGTGTGCTTGTGTGTGTGTGTGTGTGTGTGTGTGTTGGCGCTGACATCACTCTCCAGGTGATCATGTGACTTGTGTCCAGGTTGAATCCAGACTCTGGTTTTACATTCCTCCATTTAAAGTTCTCATGTAAACATACGAGCAGGAGTGACTTTATCTCCATGACAGAGCTGCAACTATTATTTCCTCCACTGATTAATGTAATTATTTGTTCTCGATTAATATTTGCTCGTTTGGTCCCTAAAATGTCGGAAAATTGTGGTAAAAAGGCAGCAACCCAAAGATTTTCACTTTACTTTCATAGTGGAGTAAATAAACCAGCTGCAGTTAAAAACGAAAAAAAAAAGACTCAAACCGATTAATCAATTATCAAAACAGTTTAAAATCCATCAGCTGTAGCTCCACATGGATAGCTCGTCTGTGGCTGGTCGTTGGACCCCAGATTGTCAAAAGCAGATGAATTACTTGTGAAAATAGTTGCTCATTTTTGCCTGAGGTTCTGCTAAAATCACGCATCTACTTAATAACATCCCCAAACCGACCACACCAGGAGTCCGCCTGGGCGTTGACTGCAGCTGGGAATCATTTTTATGATTAGAAGTGTCCATCTGGTTTTGTCCACAACCCAAAGCCACTGAGTTTACTGCCTCGGAGGAGGAAAGAAACCTGAAAGGAATCATATTTAAAAATCTGAAGTCAGCACATTTAGACTTTTTTTGTTGTTGTTGCAAAAGTTTACTCTGATAAACCGATCATGCGATTATCGGAATAGTTGAAGATTAATTTAACATTTGACAACTGACTGATTAATTCTTGGGCTGCAAGGTGGCGCAGTTGGTAGCACTGTTGCCTCGCAGCAAGAAGGTCGCCGGTTTGCGTCCCGGTGGGGGCGCCGGAATCTTTCTACATGTTCTCCCCGTGCAGCGTGGGTTCTCTCCGGGTTCTCCGGCTTCCTCCCACACAGTCCAAAAACATGCTGAGGTTAATTGGTGATTGTAAATTGTCCGTAGGTGTGAATGTGAGTGTGCTTGGTTGTCTGTCTCTAAGTGTAGCCCTGTGATAGACTGGTTACCTGTCCAGGTGAACCTGCCTTCACCCTGAGTCAGCTGGGATAGACTCCAGCCCCCCATGACCCTAGTGAGGATTAAGCGTGTATAGATGATGGATGGATGGATGATTAATTCTTGCTGTAGCTGTTACTTAAAAAAACAAAAGCAGTCAAAGTTGTTCAATGAGCAGCTTCTAATGTGGACAGTAGTGACGAATCCATCCAGTAAATCTCATTCATTTACTTTATGAGAATTATTTCACCTTCACTCTTTTTAGAAAATGTTCTTCGCTGTCCATAGATTAAAAAATGTTTATTTATTTATGCTGAAAGACATGAATTATAGGCAGCTCCATTTACTTTTATCTTTACATATTCCTTTATACTGACTCGGGCAAAAAAACCACTAATATTGTAAAACTTCAGAACGTCACTTTTGGCTGCATTCAGTCTGGAAAAGTCACAAGAGTTGATGTCGTGCAAGTCGTCTGAGAACTGGTTGTTTTGTATGTTTAGTTTACTATGATTTTCACTTGAAACCCACAAAAAAGAACAAAAAGAGAACAACAAAGGTCACGAAGCCTCCACGCTGCTTCTTTGGTTTGTTTTTTGTTTTTTTTTTTAAATTGAGAATCACATTCCTGCTGATTGTTTCACATCCTCTGTCTGGTTTCAGTTTGAGTTTGCAGAGAGGTAGTCCATTGCGGTCCGCGTTGAGCAGCTTTCGTTTTCTCACAGTTATTTTATTGTCGTGCGGGGATGCAGCTGAAATCAAACGGTGATGCGTTCAAGGACGCGCCATCGTCACAGAGTTGCCAAAATGCATCTAAGTTAGAAAGTCAAACCCCAGAAGACAATCAACATGTAAACACGATAATGAAGGTCGTGTTTGAAAAAGGGTTGACGCATTTCAGCTCAGCAGGCCAGATTTCAGATGTCTTAAGGTTCCCGAACGCACCAAAAAGGGATTCAGTAACACGTCGGAGAGTTAAAGCTTCTGAACGCTGCCCGATGGATTATGATCCTGACGACTTTACGGTTACATTTTGAGACGTTTCTTTACACCCAAAAGCAGCAAATTCACTTCATAGAGAAAGAACGTGGTGTTGTGTTGGCGAGCTCTTCTGCCCCACGGAGGCCGAACGCAGTAACCGAGACTTGAATCTGACTTCTTGACATTTTAATTCACCTTTTAAAAACATTTCCACTTGGCGTGGAAAGTGTGTCACGTTGCGGAAAAACTCCAACAACAGAGACTGCGCTCTGGCTCATTACAGCTGCTTCTTGCTTCTTGTATTTATTTATTTATTTATTTTTTTAAGTCATTTTTTAAGCAGCACAAAATTCTGTTCAACCACGTTCAGCAGAGTCGGAGCAACTGCACATCATGTCTCTGAAATTCACAGTGAATTTCTTCTGCCTGCTCATTAGCGTAAATGAACAAGCATAATTCTGTCCACTGATTTATAATCAGCCTTAAACAGCATAACAGTAAGGTTTTATATCTAAAATGTGTTTCACAGTTTGTGTATTACTGCAGTCTGCCTCTGTGGGGCGGTGTTGCAGCAGTTGTGAGGATAAAATGCAGCATTTTCCGTTTGTTTAATTGTTTTGTTTGTTTGTTTTCCTGTTCTGTCACGTTGTGAATCACCTGCTGGTCGTTCTGATTTAGCTCTTGAAGGAGAAGTTCTGCGATTTGACAAATGCACATTTTCCTCGAGTGTGAGATGTTCCGATGAATGTTCGTCTCATGTTCATCTGTAAAGCACTGAAGCTGGAGTCCAGATGTGGTTAGCTTAGCTTAGCAATAATTTGGGGAACCACAAGCGTCCTTTTCATTCGAGGTGTTACGTGATGTTCAATTATGGGCGTAAATTCCACATCGGCCTCCGACCTGGAATTCCAAATCGGAGATATCAGGAATTTATCAAACATTTTATGGTGCTAGTATATGTTACAGAAAACTGTAACATGATGAAAAAGTCAAGAGAAAAGGTTCCATGGAAACAGAAGTTAAAGAAAAAAGCTGTGACATGAGAAAAAGTCACATTTTTTTCCCAAAGTAAAATTTGTAATGTGCCAATAAACTTTTCATGGAAAAAAAGTCGTAGCAGGACAAAAAGTTCAAAGAAAAAAAAATCCAAGGCAAAGGTGGTCGTATAGAATAAAGTCAAAGTTTTCTGAGGATAATCTAACGTGAGATTAAAGTTGCCACATGAGAATGAATTCACATTTTCCCAGTAAAGTCGGAACATGAGAATAACATCACTAAGTGTCAACATGCTGGCAGTTACCTCCAAATAAAAACCAGTATCACCCCTAAAAGCACCTCTTCCTTTTAGAGGAGGTCCTGTTTGTTTGGATCAGTTTATCTGGTACACTTATCTGGTGCGACTGCAGAGTTAGCGTCCAAGCTAATGGCTAACGTTGCTGTTTGTCAAACTGCTGAACTACTCCTTTGCTAAGAGATCGCTAGTTAGGAAGTGTGACTGTCTAAAGGGTCGGTTCACCCGAATTTCTAAAGTGACTGAACATGAAAGAATTATTTATAAGAAAAGAGTGTTTTGTCCGGAAACATGCAATGTAACACACATACAAACACACACCGTTTCCCTGAACAACATAATCACATCGTGTCCCCATTAACACACACGGCCCTCCTGGTTTGTTGGTTTGTTTCTGTTGACTGGTCCATAACGCCCAGCATAAGCCTTAACTGAACATATTCTATTATTCTGTAAATCAAGACGTTAAAAAGAAAAAAAAAAAAAAGGAAAAGACAACACTAACAGAGAAGAAAAGGAAATGTGTACTGTAGCTGTTAAATTTTTAGTCCTTCTGTTCATCATTTTCTGCTGTTTTTTCTTAATATTTCTAATCTGATGTCTGAGCGCGGCGAGGTGTCGTGATGAACGCATCGTGTTTGAGAAAATAAAAAATAAAAAAAAGCTTGAGGGCGGCGGAGGAGCAGTCATGTACAGAGTTAGCGGAGAGTCTCGGACATCTCTTGTCTTTTAGAAATGTTTTTTATTGTATGTGATTTAAAAAAAAATACAAAAAAAAAATGACCACATGGCAATTTGAAAAGCAGTTTGTGAATAAATTAAGTTTACTGAGAATTATTTTACAAAGAAAGGGGAAACTGGTGTCCTGTGTTTATTGTCACTGCTGGTTTTGTTCAGTTACTGTTCTAAAGGTTTGTTTGTTTTTATCCTGTCGCTGTTTAAAAGTGAGAAAAGACTCGACGTGACAATTTTACAAGGAAATATAAAAAAATAACGTCACAATTTAATGAGTAAAGAAGGCAACACGAGAATAAGGTAAAGGAAATGAGGACGCGCCCATTTTGAGAAGAGAAAAAGAACGTAAATGTTTTAAACAAAAAATGTAGCAGCACAAAAATAAAGAAAAGTCACCGTGTGGGAATCACGGAATAATTTTATGAAGTAAAAAGCTTTTTAAAAAAAAAAAGTAATCATCTGAGAATAACGGGACAGTTTATTTGAAAAAAAAGGTCAAAACATAAGAATGATGGAACATTTTTACAAGTAAAAAAATGTAACAAAAATAAAGAAAAACGTCACAGTTTTGGAAGAAAAAAGTCGCAACATGAGGATAACGCAGTCGTTTTATGAGAAAACAATGTTGCAGCTTTAAAAGTCGTAACCTGAGAATAATGTAACAATTTGATGGAAAATAAATCGCAACATGAGGGCAGCGCAACAGTTTTGTAAGGAAACAAAGTTGCCACCTGAGAATAACGTGACAATTTTTAAGGCTAAAAGTAGCAACATGAAGACAACTGTTTGTATGAGTCATAAAGTCGTAACATGGGAACAAGTTAACAAACTTATGAGGGAAAAAGTCGTAGAAGGAAAATAAAAAAGATGGCACCTGAGGATATAACGGGAAAAAAAAGTCCCCACAAAACTAGCGCAGCAGTTTCATGAGGAAACAAAGTCAGTACATAAAAATGAAGAAAAAGTCGCCACCTGAAAATGATGTAATATTTTTACATGAAAAGTATTCACAACAAAAAGAACTTTATGAGGAAAAGTATCATAATTTGAAAATAACGACAGAAGCTGTACAGAATAATATAAGAATTTTTTTAAAACAAATTATTAAGGGAAAAAAGTTGAGATGAAAATAATTTAACAAAATAATGAGCAAGAAAGTCAAACGTTAAAGTTATGTGACAAACTGAGGAAAAAAATCGACGTGAAAATATTGTTCAAAATAAGTACGAAATGATCGTAACAGGACAATAAGTTATAGTTTTATTTGGATAAAAGTTGTACAATTAATTTAGTTTGCCAACCTACAACTTACTTTTTAATGTTAGCAAAAACATACAGAAGAGTAAAAAATGGTCAGCTCGGTAGTAACACAAGTATTAACGTACATATGAATAGTTTCAGAAGTAGGTCAATAAATCTGTTTATTAAAAACAGCTAGTTTTAGTGAGTTATTCATGAACTTTAGGCAAAGAAATCCAAAGAGTACAAAAAAATTCAATCCAACATGATGTTAAGGATCAAAATGAAGATAAAGTAAATGAGTCTTTAATTCAGCTGTTTGTAATCATAAACTATAATTACAAGGAAAAAACATTCAGAAATTCTTAAAATATAATATGACGAGTTTGTTACAGTCAAAAATCAAAGTGCAGGTGAAGAACAGCGGCTTCCTGTTTCCGTCACGTCCAGTAAAACCACACGAGAAAAGTCGAGATGCTTCCGTCTGTTTTCAGTTTTTGTCGGCAGGGCTGCTCTCTGAGGGGGTCGAGGTGGGGCCGCTGGCCTCCGACCCCCCGCTGGAGGAGGTGGAGGTGGTGGAGGAGGTGATGGCCGGGGCCGAGGCCACGCTGATGGGGACGATCCTCTCCTTCCCATCGTTGGCGGCTCTCTCCCGGGGCGCCTGGATCTGCAGCCGGCCGCCCACCAGCGAGCAGGTGACAGTTTCGGGTTCAACGCCGTGCGGCAGGTCAAACTCCTGCCTGAACTCCTGACACCTGTAGGAGTAGGAGCCCTTCCCGTCGTCCTGCTTCTTCTCCGTCCTGCCGCTCACTCTCAGCTTCCGGCCGACCTGTTTGACCGACAGCTCCTCCGGGGAGAACTCCTTGGTGTCCAGGCTGAGGGCGAAGCTGCTGCCGTCCTTCCCCAGCTCCTGGAAGGCGATGGGCTTGAAGACCGTGGTGGAGGAGGAGGTGTGGTCAATCTCCTCGAAGATCTTCTGGTGCAGCCGCTCCATGTACTCCATGTTCTGCCTCATCTCCTGCATGTGGCGGATCATTTCCTGTTCGATTTGGAAGAAGAGCGGCCGGGTCTCGGGCCACAGGCTGCGGACAGGCCAGTGCAGGTCCAGGAAAGGCCTCATGGCGATGGGGGACGGCTGGAAGACGCTGGGACACAACATCCTGACGCTGGCGATGGAGGTTTCAGATCAGCTGCTTTAGTGCGGAGTTGTTCTTTCTGGCTGCCTGATGTCCTGCCTCCCTGCTGTTTATATACACCAACTGCCACCACGCCCACCGCCGCCGCCGCCTCTGCCGGAAAGTTCCAGCAGCATTCCTCTGTGTGTGTGTGTGTGTGTCCTCACCTGCTTTATAAAGACCATGACTGAGTCCTGCAGCAGAAATAGAACAAAGCTGAGACGTGTTGGCATGTGGCAGCAGCTGGACACACACACACACTCTTACATGCCCGTCGTTGTGAGGACTGCCAATGACATAATGCTCCGAACCTGAATCCAGTTTATCAGGACTTCACCCTGAAATCTGATGATCAAACATCTGAGCAAGAAGGTTCCCACAACAGCAATGCAGACACACACAGAGTCATGTCTTTATCACTTCTGAGGACATTACAATGACTTACCAAGTCTTCAACTCTAAAGTCTGGGGTTTTAACTTATGAGGAAACCCCCTAATAATAATAATAAGTATACACAGACTTCATCACTTCTGAGGACATTACAATGACTTACCAAGTCTTCAACTCTAAAGTCTGGGGTTTTAACTTATGAGGAAACCCCCTAATAATAATAATAAGTATACACAGACTTCATCACTTCTGAGGACATTACATTGACTAATCTTTAACCCTAAAATCTGCTGATCTAATGTCTAAAGAGGCAGGATCTCTATGATAATAGCTGATATAAATAAATGGAGTCGTGTTTCTGTCACTTCTAAGTGCATTAAAATCTGGTGAGCTAACGTGTGAGGACAAATGCTCTCCCTGATAACAATAAGAATATACACACAGTCATGCTTCTGTCATTTCTGAGGACATTACATTGACTTAAACTAACCATAAATCAAGTCTTTTTTTGTTTTTTTTACCAATGATTTATACAAGTCAGAGTCGGTGGCAGCGCAAGCTAAAGACAATGCTGTCAGAAATACAGCCTCTGAGTGGCTTCTTCTCCAAAAGCACCAAAGGCTCGTTGGTGTACTGAATCACACGATGCTACCTCATTTATTTCAATAAAAGTTGGTGAACACTTTGTACATGTACTCGACCTCAGCGGGACTCGAACCCGCGCCCCTGTGTGATTGTCAAATGAACGAAAGCCTGGTCGTATTCTGACAGAAACACGCTGCTGTGGCTCTCTAGTCTGTGTTTACTTTAATTCTTAATTATAAAAGTGAGACTTTCGTATGAGTAAAGTTTGAATATTAATCTTTAACGACACTCGTCTCGGTAAAACTCGGACGTAATGTTTGCGTTGATGGTAAATGCTGTCAGCTTGGTGTCGCTGGATTTTTTAGGAGACACTGGAGCTCCGAGTTTAGCCTCTGAGCAGATCTCACTGAGCTGTCTCGGAAAAACAACTCATCGCCAACGTTTCTATTTTTGCCTCTATTTTTTTTTTAAGGGACACAGCTCGCTACTTCCGCCCTTTGCATTCCCATCCAATCAGATCTTTCCTGGATCAGCTGTCAGCCAATGACACGTCAGTTTTATAAGAAACATAATGACGCATCAACTGAAGTCGCTCCTGTTGCATACTACGAATAGAATGGCTGCCCTCAGACTGTCGTCATCGGGGGATTAGCTCAAATGGTAGAGCGCTCGCTTAGCATGCGAGAGGTAGCGGGATCGATGCCCGCATCCTCCAAAGCTTTTCTCTTCTCCAGAGAACTACATTTTCTTCACATGTTTAACTATTTTAAGGCAATTTTGAACCTGGGAATCTCAGGGTGTTTTCGGATTTAAATCTACAGGTTCTGGTGGGTTTGTTTGTGTTTCAGCTCATTTGCAGTTCATTGTTTTGCTGTGTGTGAGAGCATCTCTGTACTGGCATTTATCCATCAATGAAAAAATAAAATCAATGAAAACAACTGATTGATGTATCAAGAAATGTTTACATATAAACTGAAACAGACTAAAACTAAAAAAAAGTAAATGTGGACACAGAATTAATTAATAATAACAATCACTATTATTATCACATATACATCCATATAAGAATGTAAAACTAGAACCAATAAACAGCAGAAAGCAGAAATAAATCCTTAAATAAATAATTTGGTCCAGAAATGCATTAATAAGTGAAATTAACAAAAATATAAATGCAGCGATAAATAAGTAATTCAATTGATTAATATGGAAATTTAAAAATAAGAAAGAACAAAATGCATGCAGGGATAAACACATAACTCAATCCATTAATAGTACGGGGATATAAAGAAACGCATGCATCTGAAAAATCAAGGACAAATATATTTTAGAATTTTTTAAAACCTGTAATAAATAAACTAATATGATAACATTTTAAATAAAGAATTGTGTATATATAAAATAAATTAATTGAATTAAATAAAGTTTCATTGATCAAAGTGCTTTGCATAGTTTTAAAAAAGGAAAAACATCTTCAAAGTCAAAATAAAGAATACAACGTGTAGATTTAACACTTTATTTAACAACTTTAGTTGTTCTCTACTTTTCATTTTCTGCATTAAATAGTGTTCTAATGTGTGCCAATGAAAATTGCTAACCTGGATGTTTCCTCCCGGTGGGGGCACCGGAATCTTTCTGCGTGGAGTCTCCATGTTCTCCCCGTGCAGCGTGGGTTCTCTCCGGGTTCTCCAGCTTCCTCCCACACAGTCCAAAAACATGTTGAGGTTAATTGGTGATTCTAAATTGTCCGTAGGTGTGAATGTGAGTGTGCTTGGTTGTCTGTCTCTAAGTGTAGCCCTGTGATAGACTGGTTACCTGTCCAGGTGAACCTGCCTTCACCCTGAGTCAGCTGGGATAGGCTCCAGCCCCCCCGCGACCCTACTGAGGATTAAGCGGTGTATAGATAATGGATGGATGGATGGATGTTTCCTTTCAAAATAAATTTATAGAATCATCATTTTCAGGATACGACAGCTTCACTGCAACAAATAAACCCCTAATTTATTTTTTTAGTGTTTTGAGTCACAAACTCATGATAACAGGATGATTTTCATGTTTAAGATAAGATAAAAGTTTATTAAGAGAAAATTGCTTTATTGTTTGGACACCAAACTATTTTCAGGAACATGTTCAGAACCTGTGTGAGTGTTTGCAGCCAAACACTTTGTTGTTCTGAAATATCTGCTGATCAACAAGTATTGATGTGAACGTGCAGACCAATGAAGCTGCATTAAAATAAACATTAAACAATCTAATGTCCACATTTAAACAACCTTTTTACTGTTCATGTCCCGAAACAAAAAATAAATTTCCCTTTATTTAGTTACCATTTTTGACAACCTGTTCCTGCTGTTCCAAACAAAACAGACTAAAAATTTTAAATTGTCATTGACAGAACAGCTGTCAGTGCAGCCACGAGGGGGCGCTGCTCCCCAGCAAATACGTCATCCCCGCAAATAAAGGTGAATTTTTTCCATGAGAAAAACACACATGAAGACTCCAACCTTTAATTTCACTCAGGATTTAATTTAAAATCCAAGTTAACAACAAAAACATCAAATTTCACTCTTCGTATGTTTTTCTCAGGTTCGTTCTTTTGCTCTACGTTCGTAACAAACTGCAGGAACCTCAGTCAGAACATTCACAGCTGAGTTGATCGCTGAGGTCAGAGGTCAGAGCGCTACAGAGAGTGTTTGACGGCGTGGACAGCCTCGATGACGTTGTGGCGTCTGTCGGCGGCCGCTGGGATGCTTGTGGTCGGGGCCTGGGACACGGTGAGCAGAGCGCGGCGTCCGTCGATGGCGTCGTCGAGGTGAAGCAACAGGAGCTCCAGCTGCTCATTCTCTCGGCTCAGATCCTCTTCATGTTTCTTCAGGATTTGTCGCTGCAGCACTGCGGCGTTCAGTCGCTGCATCAGCGGCTGCAGCTCCAGGAACTCACAGGCCTCCTGCAGAAAGACACAAACAGGTTGGACAAACAACCACTGTCGCTTTAGACTAATCTGAACCACAGACTTTACGCAAAAGATGGATGCAGCCTGACGCCAGAAAAGTGAAGTCTTAAACCTGCGTTCTTTGTGCCAGCCAGCAGGGGGCGACTCGTCTGGCTGCCTGATCGTACAGAAGTCTGTGAGAAAATGAATCGTCTCACTTGATCTGATTACTCAGTAAACGTTTTCCTAATTTGAAGCCCTCCAAACAGCTACTTTTCTTCTTCACTGGTTCAGTCGGTCTCTTCCTGTCTGAGATGTAAAACAATTTATTGTTTATGTTGTAAGCTAGGTTCATTTTATCAACAAATTTAAAGATCTAATTGAAAGCTTTACGACAGAAAAATAGTAACGTCTTAGTTTTCAGCAGTATGTTGTTAAAAACAAACATGCTAACCCGTCACATTGCCGTTAAATGGCTTTTATTGGTCGTAAAGTGGCATTTATACACAAACTCTTTCCTTTTAAACAACTAAACTCCAAAACAATCCAAAATGCCAAATTTTGGCCACGATAATCGACCGGAGCGATACTGGTCCGCCTCTACCCACAACGTACATCCTGTGAATCAGACTAGAGCAAGGTAAGGAGAAAACCTGAAAGACTTCAATGAACATTTTAAGGCCGCAGCTATTTCCTGACAGCAGCACCGTACCACACAGCCCACCTTGTTTCTGTGCTCCTCTGTGGGACGTGATGAAGATGACGAGACACTCTGCAGCTTGCAGCACATCTCAGCAACAAGCAGAACCTTCTCGGCCTGAAACATTGGAGCAGAAGGTGAATCAGAACCAGCTGACAGTCGTGGGTGTGACAGCGGCCGGACAGGCGTGAGTTTCACCTTGGCTGTGACGGCCTGCAGCTCGTCGGCGGCGTTTTCGTCGAGGACGCTGAACTCGGTGAGCCGCCTCCTCGCCTCCATGCAAGCTCGGCTCAGCTGATTCCGGAGCTGGTAACACTGATGGCTCACATTGGCTTCCAGGTCTCTTTCCATCAAGGTGCATCCTGCCTTACAGGCCATCTCCTTCTCCTTCAGAGAGATGATGGAGGAAGAGAACCAACAGTTTTATATGACAACATTCTGAGTGAATGTGTCAGACGAGGCTACAACTAAGAATTTAAGAGTTCATTTGCTGAAACGGACAACTCCATTTTTGTAGATTTTCAGAAAACTAATTTTTTTGTTGTTTGCTTGAGACAACATCAACCAAAGTGAAGTTGAGTGGATTTGACTCAGTAGACATGATGTGACAGAGGTAGAGATAACTTAAGTTTGATTGCTATTGTCTCAGGAAGACGATGGAAAAGTGGGTTTTCTGAAGGTCTGTGAAGATGGAGTTATCCGTTTTTGCAAATGAACTCTTCAACTACTTCCTGTCTTTGGTCTATAAAATGTCTGTGGAAAATACTGTTTACAGAAGATGTCAAATCCTTTTTTTGTCAAAAAATCCAAAGAGGACGAAGAAAGAAAAAAGAAAAATATCCACATTGAAGAAGCTGCAAGGAAAGAATTTAGACTTTAAAAAAAAAAAAAAAGTTAAACAAACCAAATAATCCATTAATAAAATGTTCCCGATTGATTTAATAGCTGACGATGAATCGATTAATCTTTATTTATTATCAGTATTATTGAGACTTTTTTGATTCTTTTGGCCGATTCTATGAACAACTGTCATATTTCTGGTCTCAGCTCATTGATGAAGTAGCTGCTGCACGCGAGGAAAACTGAACTGAAGAAGCTGCTGATCACTTTTCTAGAGAAGAGTCTGAACTCTGAACGTCACACGACACCAAATCTGACAGAAATTCATTTCTACTCTTAAAATTTGCTGGAGGCGACCAAATCAGAGCTAAAAATCGAGTTTAATTCATGCATTCTCCGTCCGGCTTTAAATTGGAGCTTTACAGAATGGAGTTTGGTTTGATGAAGGTTTGTTCTAGAACTGCATCGAATGATTATTTTCACCGTCAATTAATCTGTCAGTTATTTTCTTGTTTAGTTGATAGTTCTGTCTATAAAATGTCAGAAAATGATGGAAAACTGTTGCTCTGCGTTTCCCAACATGACAAATGTCTTGTTTTGTTCTTAACACAAAGATATTCAGTTAACTGTCACAGAGGAGGAAAGAAAGCAGAAAAGATTCACATTTCAGTTTTTGTTCTTTTAAATGCACCGACTAATAAAACAGCCGGCGATTACTGTTGTAGTCGACAGCTAACTGATCATCAGCTGTGGTATCGGACGGTCGGTGAACAGTCGGAGCTCAGAAATGTGTCGGGCAGAAGCTGCTCATTGACCGTCGCAGCACTGACCAGCAGCTTGTTCTCCTCCTCCGCCTGGCTGCTGAAGCCCTTCCGGGTTTTGGAGAGGTTCTGTTCCAGCTCATCAAGCTCCTGGGTTTTCTGCTGCAGAGCCTTCGTGTGCTGCAGATTAGCGTCCTTCAGCTTCTGGTATTCCTCTGAAGCTGTCATCTGTCCAACAGACGAAGACGCAAAACTGAAACTAGTTAAACCTCTCAGACTCGAGTCACGTCTGACGCACAGATGTTAGGTTGTTCTGGGAGGTACCTCGCTGTAGCAAAAGCCCACGTACTGGTCTCCTTTCTTCAGCTTGTGGATTTCCCTCATCGAGTCCCTGTGCCTCTGCTCTGCAGACAGCGCCAGGTTCTGCAGTTTGACCTGCTGCTGCTCACACTGGCTCAGCATCTGTTTCCTGAAAACACACCAGAGTTCACAGATCAAAGAGCTGCAGTCGATCACTCTGCGTCTACTGACACCAGAGCTGCACCGATTAACCGATAGAAAATTAAACCAGATTTTTTTTTGCTCCGATTTGGTCGCCCCCAGCAAGTTTTAGAAACAGGATGAATTTCTGTCACATTTCTTGTCGTGTGACGTTCAGTTGGGGGTTTTTGTTGCTCAACATGGTCGATAATCTCCCAGAAAAATGATCAGCTGACTGCAGCAACTAAATGAAACAACTTTATTGACGACCGATTAATGCTGACAACAGAGCTGCAGCGATTGATCGATTAGTCGTCAGCTCTTACAACTACCGCTGGTATTTTGATGATCCCTTTAATGGACGGGACTGTATAAATTGTGTGATTACAGCATTTTAAATGTGAATTTTTCTGCTTTATTTCCTCCTCTACGACCTCTTTGCAGAATATCTTTGCAGACAAAACAAGACGTTTGTCATCTTGGACTGTGAAACCCCGATTGACATTTTATAGACTAAACAACCAATTAAACAACATCAACAATCATTGCTACAGAATGAACCTTCATCAAACCAAACTCCAAAAAGTTCCAATTTAAAGCCGGACAGAGAATGCATGAGTTAAACCTGAGTTTTTGCTCTGATTTGGTCGCCTCCAGCAAATTGTAGAATCAAGTAGAATTTCTGCCAAATCGATGCCGTGTGACGTTCAGCTGGAGGTTGATGTAGCTCAACAGAGTGGCGAATCTTCACGAGAAAAATGATTTAACTTGAAGTTCAGCTTTTCTCATATGCAGCAACTACATTTATCAATAAGTCAAAGGCCAGAAATATGAAATGAAAAAACCTTTTCTGGTCTGAATAGTAGCTGTAAGACCTGGATTAACCCTCTGAAAAACAATCACTGTCTGATCAGTTTTGTCACATTGTTCTCCTGGGATCAACACATCCAACGATTATCCAAGTGCCCACAGGTGTTACCGACACTGAACTCAGTTTTTGAACTCTGGGCTGCTTTTCAGTTTTGTTTTTTGTTTTTACAAACACGCAGAATAAACTGATTTAGATTAAACATCACAATTTTAAACTTAAATCTACCGTAATTAATTTTCCTGACAGCCAACGATTCTGATGATCATTTTAACGGTTTACATCACAGATGATCAGACCGTTGCTTCTGTTTTTTACAATTTCTGGCTGATAAACGGTGTCTGTTTGGTGATATTTCAAAGACAAGATGCCTTTAAAGTGAATTTCGTGGCTCAGAAGGTGAATCTAATAAAGTCTCAGTGGATGCTGCAGAGGAGGAGTGTTGGACTGACCTCTCAGCGCTGAGAGTGGACTTCAGGTCCTGCATGCAGTCATCCCACTGCTCCTGCAGGCGCTGCAGCCGTCGGTCCTGCTGCGCCAACAGCTGCTCCACCTGCTGCAGGTGGGAGCGCTGAGCATGCGCTGACTGACGCTCCACCTCCTGCAGGTCGGCCGCCACTCTCTGCAACACAAACAGGAGGCGACAGGCTGAGTCAGCAGGTTGAGCTAAACTGATCATTAATCTCATCGATGAAGCTCCAACATACTGTGTCTCTAAAGAATATCAGCCAAAACGTTGATAAAATCAGCCACAAAAATCCAGTGTCAGTGGGGATGTGATACATTTCCAACAGAAATGGTTCCATGAAGCTGCTTCACATGGCTGAAAATGTAGTTTTCTTTTTGCATTTACAATTTCTCATTGCGATTAATGTTTGAGTTGCAATGAGAATCATTAAACGTGTTTATACTAAAGACACAAAAACACGTTTAAACAGGTTCTAAAGTGGGTGAATGATATTCTGTTTCAGTTCCTCCTCCTTTCTGGGAAAACACTTTGCATCCACTGATGAAAAAAGATCAGAATCACCAAGCGCAACCATGCAATTACTTTATTTTGAAGTTGCAGGAGTCAAGCGACATCATTTACAAAAGCAAGGATCTTCGTAAATCTGAAATCTTTGTTGCATAATGATTTCATCCTGTTGTTAGGATTTTTATTAACACTGTAAAGCTCTCATTGCTATTTTATATATTGCTTTGACAGGGATCACATTTTTAAATTATCATTTAAATTGGAGGTCATCCGAGCTGTCAGGAGAATATCACAGGAGCTGCAGCCTTTGGAGAAGAAATCAAGCTTTGTGATGCCCCTGCTGGATAAGAATCTGCACTACTGAAAGTTTAACAGCATGTAAATATATAGAGAAAGATTTAATGTCAGTTTGAGGAGAGGATGTCGGTAAAGTTATCAAAGATATTCAGTTTATGTTCACAGAGGAGGAAAAAAAAACAAAAGAAGTTGCTTCTTCGGTAAACAAACGTCTCAGAACATCCCAGCGAGACAGAAAATGTGGGAAACATTCTCTTTTACACAAACAGGCAGGCCTGCCTCATTGCACAAACCCTCAGAAGAACTTGACATTTGCAGGTTGCTGCTTGGATGCTGTTGATCCCGTAGAGAAAACAGAAACAGCGACGGTGTTCGGACCAGCAGAGTGTGACGGAGGCTGAAGCTCTCACCTGGATGATGATGTTCAGCTCGTCCATTTGCCTCTCGAATGTCTGCTGCTGTACAGCGGCGTCTCGGTGGAGCTCGGCGGCTCGAGTCTGACAGAGGATCATCCTCCAGCTTTCGCTCAGCTTCAGCTGGTTCACCGCCGTGTTCCTCTCCTCCTTCTGCAGCTTGTCCTGGTTCAAGCAGAGAAACGTCAGTGATCAGTGGTCGGAAGAGCTGCTCAGCAAACACCGGGTTCAGACCAGCAACGGTTCCTCTCAGTTTCTATTCAATCAAACCCGACGGCGGATTTACAGGGCTTGTTGTTTACAAAAGGACAAAAAATCATCAGATTGTCAACATTCCCGTGGTCCTTGAATG